CATAAGCCGAGGGATAAGGCCGAGACAAGCAAACCGAAGGAGAAGAAAGCCGACAAGCAGGACAAAAGCAAGGGTAAGTCTTGGCAACGCCCTTGTTACTTATGCGACGGCCCTCACCTGATGCGAGACTGCCCACAAAAGAAGGCCCTTAAGGCCATGGCCTTCAAGGAGGACAAGCCCGAGGAGAGTGACGATGCAAGGATGGGATGCATCCGTCTGCTGAATGCCATCCAAACAACCCTCTCACAACCCAAGGCTCAAGTTGAGGGAGGATCATTGTTCGTCGACGTCAAGGCTGGTGACAAGACGACGCGTGTGTTGGTGGACACGGGAGCAACACACAACTTCATGACGTCGGAGGAAGCCAAAAGGCTTGGCCTCCGAGTCACAAAGGAGCCCGGTAGCGTGAAGACGGTAAATTCCGCTGCCACCCCCATTGTCGGAGTTGCGCGCAATGTACAGGTGGACATTGGCGCATGGAAGGGAAAGATCGACTTCACTGTAGTCAAGATGGACGACTATGGCGTAGTCATTGGGTTAGAGTTCATGGACAAGGTACGAGCCTTTCCCATTCCCTTCTACAATATTTTCTGTATCTTGGACGACGGGAGACAACCGTGCCTGGTGCCATTGGAAAGGCAAGCCAAGAAGGGTACCCAGCACTTGTCGGCAATGCAATTTGCCAAGTCCTGGAAGAAAGGCGAGGCCACATTTCTCGCAACCCTAATGTTGAATGAAGGAGAGGAGAAGTACGAGCCTTTGCCGAAACAAGTGGAGGCCGTCCTTAGGGAATTTGCGGACGTGATGCCTAAGGAACTGCCAAAGAAGTTGCCACCAAGGAGAGAGGTTGACCATGCGATTGAGTTGGAGCCTGGTGCTAAGCCTCCCTCCAAATCACCTTATAGGATGTCGCCACCCGAGTTGGAGGAATTGAGGAAGCAACTCAACGAGTTACTTGATGCTGGCTACATCCAACCCTCCAAGTCCCCATATGGTGCACCCGTCTTGTTCCAACGAAAGAAAGAAGGTAGCCTAAGGTTGTGCATCGACTATAGGGCTTTGAACAAGATCACCATCAAGAACAAGTACCCACTTCCGTTGATCGCCGACTTATTCGATCAACTTGGTGAAGCAAGGTACTTCACAAAGTTGGATCTTCGATCGGGATACTACCAAGTGAGGATAGCCCCTGGAGACGAATCGAAGACGGCGATGGTGACCAGATATGGATCATTCGAGTATAAAGTCATGCCATTTGGTCTGACCAATGCCCCTGCAACATTCTGCACATTGATGAACAAGGTATTCCATCCTTATCTTGACAAGTTTGTTGTGGTTTACATTGATGATATTGTCATCTATAGCAAGACATTGGAGGAGCACGTCAAGCACTTGCGCATAGTGTTCAAGACCCTTCGGGAGCATGAACTCTATGTCAAGAAGGAGAAATGCTCCTTTGCCACAGAAGAGGTAGAATTTCTTGGCCACAAGATAAAGGAAGGGAAACTTATGATGGAAAAGGGCAAGATCAAGGCCATTCAAGAGTGGGAACCGCCGACCAAAGTACCCACACTACGATCCTTTCTGGGGCTAGCCAACTACTATCGGAGATTCATAAGAGGGTATTCAGCTATAGCGGCACCCTTAACAGACCTTCTTAAGAAGAACAAGGCATGGGAATGGACGGATCGGTGTCAAGAGGCCTTTGAGAGGTTGAAGAAGGCCTTAATGGAGGAGCCGGTACTAAGGTTGCCCGACCTTAGTAAGCCATTCGAGTTGCACACTGATGCTTCCGACTTTGCTATAGGAGGAGTGTTGATGCAAGAAGGACATCCGATAGCCTATGAAAGTCGCAAGCTAAACGACGCCGAGAGGAGGTACACAACCCATGAAAGGGAGATGACCGCCATCGTCCATTGCCTTAGAGTTTGGAGGCATTACTTGCTTGGTACTCCATTCATTATCAAGACGGACAACGTTGCCACTAGCTACTTTCAAACCCAACAAAAGCTCACACCTAAGCAAGCAAGGTGGCAAGAGTTCTTAGCAGAGTTTGATTACAAGCTAGAGTACAAGCAAGGAAAGGAGAACGTGGTGGCCGATGCTCTAAGTAGGCGAGCAGAGTTAATGGCTACGGTACTCAAGCCGCAAAGCCCTCTCCTGGGCCGTGTCCGAGAAGGGTTATCCCATGACGTCCAAGCCAAAAACATTGTGGAGTTTGTCAAGGATGGGAAGACAAGAAGGTTTTGGCTTGAGGACGGCTTGCTGTACACCAAGGGCAAGCGAATCTACGTCCCAAAGTGGGGTAGCTTAAGAAAAGAAATCCTGAAGGAATGCCACGACTCAATGTGGGCCGGACATCCTGGCACTCACCGCACGTTGGCCTTGGTGAGCGATGCTTATTATTGGCCACAAATGCGGGACGACGTAGATTCATACGTGAAGACTTGTCTTGTGTGCCAACAAGACAAAGTGGAGCAAAGGCAACCGGGAGGTCTGTTGGAGCCACTTCCCACCCCATCAAGACCATGGGAGTGTTTAACCATGGATTTCATCACACATTTGCCCAAGTCTGATGGATGTGGATCTATCTTCGTCGTGGTCGATAGATTCACCAAGTATGCCACTTTCATACCTGCACCCGTGGAGTGCACAGCCGAAGTAGCTGCACGCTTGTTTCTAAAGCACGTGGTGAAGTATTGGGGAGTTCCGAGGAGCATAGTCAGTGATCGAGATGCTCGCTTCACGGGTAGATTTTGGAAGGAGCTCTTCAAGCTACTTGGCTCAAAATTAGACTTCTCCACCGCTTTTCATCCCCAAACTGATGGACAAACGGAGCGGGTCAATGCATTGTTGGAGACTTACTTGCGGCACTATGTTAGTGCCAATCAACGAGATTGGGCTAAGCTACTTGATGTTGCCCAATTCTCTTATAACTTGCAACGTTCGGAGTCGACGGGGAAAAGTCCGTTCGAGTTGGCTATAGGGCAACAACCCTTGACCCCGAACACGGTCGCGACTGGCTATACGGGGAATAGTCCAGCCGCGTTCAAAACCGCTAAGGAGTGGCAATTAGCCCACGAACTTGCTCGAGCTCACCTGGAGAAGGCTTCAAAGAAGATGAAGAAATGGGCGGATCGTAAACGAAGGAATGTGGAGTTCCAAACCGGCGACCAAGTCTTTGTGAAGCTTAACGCGTCTCAGCACAAGAGTACTCGTGGCTTGCACAAGAGCTTGTTGCGGAAATATGAGGGACCATTCCCTATCATCAAGAAGGTTGGCAAGGCCGCTTATGTCGTGGAACTCCCACCCCGTCTCAAGTTTCACCCGGTGTTCCATGTGAGCAACTTGAAGCCTTATCATGCAGACAATGAGGAACCAAGCCGAGGTGAGTCTCATCGAGCACCCCCTTTGATGACAGAGGCATTTGACAAAGAAGTGGAGAGCATTGAAGCCAAGCGTGTCGTGGTACGACCAAGACAACCAAAGCATGTGGAGTACTTTGTCAAATGGAAGGGGCTACCATACTCCGAAGCGTCATGGGAGAAGGAGACATCCTTATGGCAATATAAGGACTTGATTGATACGTTCGAGAGGCAAGAGTCGACGAGGACGTCGACGGCTTAAGTGGGGGAGGATGTCACGGGCCGTATGTTACAAACAAAGAAAAGGCCCAAGACATCATATATCTAAGCCCATGAAGCCTTGTCTTCATGGAAGCTTCCGGAACATCCCGGAGAAATCAAGAACATGGTGGAGCATTCAAGATAATCTAGGGCATTCCGGAAGAATCCACACAAGTGTACATATTCAAGCCTCACCTAGAATAATCTAGATTAGGCAAGATGTATCTAGAACTATACTAGATATTTTTGGATGTAAGTAGGGAATTCTAGAACCCTCCATTGAGGAGGTGACTTAGGCCTATAAATAGGAGGCAAGGCCATTTGGCCAAAGCATCCAAGAGTCGTAAGCAATTGTAAAGCTCTCCTAAGTTTCAATACAAAGCTTCCTTTCTCCCATCTTCTAAGTGATCTTAGCATTCTCCAAGCTATCTTAGCTTTCTTAGTGATTCAATCCGGGGAAGCGAGGCTTCGAAGGCTTACTTAGCTTGTTCATCGAGGGATTCAAGTCTAAGTGCCGCACGGGCGGAAGGCTTAAAGAGTCATCCCGTGACACTAGGCAGGCGTAGCACTTGAAAATAATACTGTCTCGATCACAAGTTGGTTTTATTTCGTTTACAAAAGCACAAGCTCCTAATCCTACATCATGGTTGTCTCTAACATTTCGAAGGCATTGTGCGAATTTAATAAAAAAGCTCTCCTTGTTTGAAAAATTATAATTTTTTTAGCAATATATTCATACAAATTTTAACATTTTTTTAACGATATATTAATATAAAATTCAACCGTCAATATTCAAATTTAATTGAAATCAACCTTCCACTCTTAATAATTGAATTATCTCCAATTTCTTTTAACGATATATTTATACTCACATGTCATATATAGGAGGATGAAAAATTTTAGGAGCCCTCTGAAATTCGGGGCACGTACCACTACATCTTTTGCACACTCCCAACTCCGCATGAGTAGGGCACATTCTCTTGTTCAGGCGAGAGAATTTCCAAGGAGCGGCCAGCCACAACGGTTTTCCTTAGAGAAATCTTGGAAGTTAACAAAGGTTGTACTAAGCATTCTTCAAAGCTTTTACTTTAAGTGATCCCCTATCAAGGACTTGACAACCTTCCAAACCATTTGAGGATACAGGGTTGGTCCTGGCCTCTTTGAAAACCTCACAAGCCCTAGCTGGCCAGACCAATGTCCCAAGGACTCGTTTGGTGAGCTAGATGGAATTTGACGTTAGGGATAGGATTGGATTGGAAGGGATTGGTTAGGCTTTGAGTCCCAGTTTGTTGTCCTAAGTTAACAAATTGGGCCCTGCAAGTGCAAACCACAAGTAGAACAAGCAAGAATAATAGCTGTAGGAAAGTGTAAAACTAGCCGAATAAAAGGCAAGATTGAAATGAACATACCAACTTAACGCTGTTATTTACAAATTATGACTGATTATGGAAATATATATTCATACCATCACTTATTTACAACGTCAACATAAGATGAAACCGCAACAGAGTATCCACAATTCAGCATCGGTAAAAAGCCCCTGTTGCTCATGCTTCTCTGCAGGCCACCCCCATTATATAAACAGTGTTAATCTCCCAGTACAAGTAAAGAAAATCTGCACACCTGAAAACAAAAGAAAACAAAGACAGACTGAAAAATAGCACACAGAAAGGTACCGATGAAAAACCCATAGACTAAGGAGAAAAGTGAGAAGTTGCAAGGGAAAGAGTGAAAATCATGCTTCTCTGCATATAATTTGCTTGTTAAACATTTCATTTTTACAAAAGCCAACAGTAATTCAACAGCTCAGCATTGCCACGGTAAATGCCTGCGTACATAAGTAGGCAAGTGCCTCGCTCGCCTTATGTACAAAGTGTGCAGTGTGTTTAAGGATATGACAAACCGTGATGGATAGTTTTTTCCTTTGAGCAGGAGAATTTGTGACGCACTGAGAATATATGTAAACCATTTTCGTAGAAGATTTGAAATTTAAGAAGGAATAAAAAAAACAGAATACCAAGTGGGAGAGAATGAATGTCATGCCTAGAATATCATGCTTGTAAACAGGTCGTTAATTTCAAATTACGACACCTCACTGACTATATCATTCTCGCTTCATTCAATGAAGACATTTGCAGAAGATCACCCAGGCTAAATCATCATCCTGAACTCAGTAATCTTACTAATATATTCAACAAACAAATCTACAACAGTAATTGGAACATACCTCTAATCAAACTCATCGCCTTTGTCTCCAAACAGATTCCCCAATCCCAGGCCTTCTATGTCATTATTTACAAACTTAAGTTGGGCCTCCAAGTTTAAGCTGCTCTCTCTATTATTTACAGTCTCAAGCTGAGTCTCTGTCTTCGGGCTGTCATTGTTATTTACAAAGCCCTTTCTTTCTATGGGCGTCTGAGAACCACCCCGTCCAGTTTCTTCAATCCCATTAGCAAGTTGTGCCACTCCAGCACCACTTTCAGTCATGGTGTCAAGCGAGCTTGAACTGTTTCTGCACGAAAGCCCGCTATTTTCAGATACACCAGACCTCTGATGCGAAAGTTGCCCACTAAAATTGCTATCTACAGAAGCAACCCTGCATAAGAAAAGACGGTAATTCATACACATTATTATTAGCAGTATGTTGTACATGATGAAGCATACATAATATATGGAGAGAGCATGTGATCATAAGCAACAAGGACATGACCAGGGGCTGATAATAAATGGATGCATAGAACCTCAGCTCACCTTGTTTGGTGAAATATGGGAGTTTGAAGATATTCAAAAACTGGGACCAAATGCTTTGATCTTGCTTCAATCATGTGAGTTGGAATTCTCTCGATCTCAATTTCCCCTACTGAAGCAGTTTCATCATCCATTTTGACACCTTCCACTATTATCGACTGAAAGTATAGCTGGCAAACAATTTTACAAAAGCAAAGAGCATGTCGAACATCACAAACACAGAATTTTTATGAAAAGAAAGCATAACCACAATTTTGCATTTTCCAACTCCCAAAATACCTCAGGTTTTGCCCACACTGGACTTTGAGCTTCATGCATCTGCAGTTCAGCTTCTGAAATATACAACTGATGTTTTTCCTCAGGGCTGATCTTTGCTTTTGTAACAGTACTGCAAGCTTCAGGGTAAATGGTGTTTCCCTTCTTCTTCCCTTCGCGATATATCTTATTGTTGTCAAAATTTCCATTCTCACCATATATGTCAGAAGTATCCTCACGCTCCCTTCGGTTTTGCTTTTGACATATATTCCACTTCTGGATAGCTTCAACTACTAATCTTGCATCATCCTCCAGGCCCGACTCATAAGGAGTGTTCAATCCAGCCACAGCTGTCGAATCTAGATCGTTTGATATTCGCAATGCGTATTGTATCATGGAACCAGAAGGAGAAAAAACCAAGAGGTGGTACTTAGCCTTCGAAGAGTTGCGATCCACATAATGAGCATTGCCCTTGCAATTGTGGAATGAAGAAGCAACTGCCCCAGAAAGGGTAGTCATCTTGCCTGTTGCAGCAGCTGCAGCACCACTTACAGTGCCTCTCCAACTATTATTTCCATTTCTTATTCTACCAACAACAGAAAGTGTAACTGGGGGACCAGCTGAGCAAAGGCTTCTCTGATTAAGTGTTTGCAAACCTGGCCAACGAACTGACGATCTAGTAACTCCCAATCCTGTACTTTTGGTGGTAAAACCAGCATCAGCAGTTGGGAGATTTACTAATCCTCCCCAAGGATTTATAGCAAACAGATGGCTTGTTCCCCTAGAGGAACTAACCATGATCCAGTTGCTGTCATCACTAAAACTGATGTCCTGTATAATCTGGAATTGAAAAATGAAAAAGAGGAAATTAATATCAAACACGTGATTGTTGAAACAAATGGCATACCCAACAAGGAATTCTGAAACATGAGAATGGCTCCTACTGCATTTGTTAATCCACGTTGGAGCCTGTAAAGATGTACATATGATGCACCACCATCAGTTGAAGAAAAGCTTCCAGGCATTATCTTAAAAACATTGATGTTATGCCCCTGAGTTGATGCAGTCACTAAAAGGGTGCCACTAGGATCAAAGCATAATGCAGAAATAGGACTCGTGTGCGCCCTGAACTGGGCAATAACAGCCTTACTGACAATATCTCTGACAATTACCTGACAAACCAAAGAACATGATAAGCACAGGGGACCTAAATAACGCATGAAAGGATCAGAACAGTATCACTTACCCTTATAACAAACTTGATTTGGTAAAAAAAAATACAATATAACAAAGCATGCGCATGCATTTACTCATGCAAAGTTAGAAAGGTAACTCACTAAATATACGAACTCCAGTCAAAGTCTAAAAAAGAAAAAGTGAACTTACAACTACAAGTGAAAACAGAATTGAGGTCAACAATATGTACCATACCATTCCAATATTATCAGTGTCTGTGGACTGGCCATTGACAGTACCATTAACTTTCCAGACAGGATTCGCTGATTGAAGAGAAGTATTACTATCAGGTATAAGCTCAGAGCAGTACCGGGACAGCTTCTTATATCCCATGTCTCCCAGGGTTACAATCCCAGCAGCTAGTTGCTTGCTTGACTCTTTTGCATAGTGAGCAACCAGGCTTCCATTTGAAGGAAAACCAGAAAAACTTGCAGAAGGTTCCAGATGCTGTGGACTGACACGCCCAGAATTAGATACAGCAACAGGACTTCCACTATAAGCCAGCCATCTATTGCCTAATGCAAGAGGTCCACAACCTATACCTCCAGAACCAGGGAATCCCGTAACTATCGGATTGGTAAGAATGGTATATTCTCTCTCCAATGTCATGGAATCAAAACAGTGAATCTGCAATACACAAGACTAGATACTCAAATACCGGTTAAGCAGAAGATAAGAAATAATGGAGAAACGTTACATAAACAGGTATCTACCTGAGCTGCTAGAGAAATAGCAACAACTCGAGAACTGCACTTTACTGAATAAACAACTGATCTGAACTTTAGAACATGAACATAAGATTGAGATTTCAAAGAATAAAACCGAACAACAGTAGGCACAAAACTGCTGTTCGCTGTGTCATGGCTGTATGCAGTAACACCATTGTGAGGAGTGGCAGTGCCATCCTGTATGATATTACCCACAGAAATGGACCCATCGGCACAAACTACCATCAATGGACGGCTTTCTTCAAACTTGTCTTCTGATCTCTTTGATGCTATTGGTTTAGGTAGCATTTTCATGAATGAGGCAGGACCATCGTATCTGGAAACCAGGTCCCGGACATTATCTGCTTCTTCAACATCCCAAACCTGGAATCCAGAACGGTAGCCCAGAAGGAGAACTTGATGAGTGTCATTCCCCTCACCTTCTAACTTGTCAAAGCCAGCCCAGTTCACCTTTATTTATTCAAAAGATATATGAAAAGTCAACTCCATTCTCTACTACTTTGAAGACTCTAGATGGGAAAAGTACATCTTAAAGTCATGCCCATATCAACATAAGAAAGAATGTAGTATCCTAATGTTCAATGAAAAAATCAAATACAGGAAAAATGTAACAAAACCAAGTTTAAAACAAATGGAAAAAATTTATAGAAAACAAGATAAAGAGTCATCAACCTGAAAGTGCACAATTAACACCAACTCTTAGGCCTTATATAATTTTCTTTTTAAATAACCCTTGGCGGAAAAAATGTTGAAAGAGAAAGAAAGACCTTGATGGAGTAACATCGAATTCAAGAATAAAAAATATGATCATGTGTATCCCTGTTGAATGGGAAACATGTAATGGTTAAAGTGCCAACAAAATATCATTTTACCACTTCTAACATATAAACAAAAAGCTAAAATTTCCAATCAATTACATACCTCCATTCAGAGATTCATGTTTTGTTCATTTATTTTATACAAACATTAAACTTTCTAAATTGTTATATAGACGCTAGAATCACAAAACTTCTTAACAACAAATGCACCTCAATTGCTCCTTCCAAGTTCTAGTGCACAGGCATGTTTGATGTGAAATAACTATTAAATTGGGTGTCAAACGCTAAAAAAGGCACTGAAATTTGCATCAAATATTTTCATTATGCAACTGCTTTGTTGTTTCCAGAGTAGCATTGCACAAAAATAACGAGCAAAAACCCGTTAGTATAATGTTTTCTGGATTCAATACAGTAGATATAAGTATAATGTTCAAAACTCCTCCATCAGTGAATCACTATTACACCTTGTAAAAAATATGCATGTCATCTTCATCATAATGTTTCCAAAAAAAAAAAAAAATCATAAAATGTATACTGATCAGAAAGGCTTAATTTTTGTAAACAAATCATTTACGTCAAAAAGATAAATAGAGGCTCTGTTTGGCTGCAATTATCACTACCTTAAAATGACATTTTCCTGATCAATGTTACTTTAAAGGAATGATCACTTCAGATGCATTTCCATTTCTACTGAAATAATTAGCCGCTACGTCAATTGAATTATGAAATCTAGTTTACAATAAAATAATATTAATTATACTTATCATGAATTCCACTACACCAATCACTAAACATTATTGCTAGTTGCAAAATATCTTTTAAAAAACTCCATGACAACTATAATCTAACACCACTTAAGTCACACAATCCCACACTCCATGCATTGAACAAAAATGCTTCACTAAATGTTTTTCTATTGAATCTCGAAATTAGGATGTGCACTTGTAACAGACTTACTCAACAAAATTTCCTTTACATCTGACCAGATTCACAAACTTTTGTCACAACCAGGATGGAAAACATGATCTAATTGAAGTGATGCAATCAAAGCTCAATAATTTAACCAAATATTTCCAAATTAATATAATTAATTGCAAAGAAAAGAGCTTAAACAAATAGAAAATTAATGTCATTTGAAATCAAACACGTGGAATATGTAGCACAAATCCGACAAAAGGTACCCACCATACCTCCCATAAGGCACATGTATATCAAAACATACACGTGTAGAGCCTCATTACGCAACTGAACAGACTAACACACCTATGCTATCCGACATTAAACAAGCGACAAATCACATTAGCTTGTTGCGAACACCGCATCTGAACTACCTATGAACCCAAACTGCCACTATCTTGAATATGTGTGAATCCTATTTTTACAAAACAATCTACTAGATTATCCAGTATGCCAACACCAAAACGACAATATTCATTAAAAATATTGCGTCAACAAGAATCAAATCTTGTGATACATTTACAAAATAATCTACTAGGTTATCCAGTATCCCGACATGAAAACGACAAACCCTTAAAAAAATTGCGCCAACAAGAATCAAATCTTGCAATGCATGCCGAACAACCTCGACCACTACAATCACCCTCCCAATGAATTGCAACTGCTCCACAACTAGTATAAACATTAATACCGTCCTAATTCAATCAGCTTCCAAATCAAGCATTCTTAAACAATTTTCATCCCTTTGATTATTTGAGGAAATAATCATCAACTCCATAAACAATTTTCATCATTCACAAACCTATTTTGCATTCTCTTTCAGGCTCAAAACTTCAGATGCAACCTATTGAAACTAAGTATTCACAGCTAACAATTTTGGCAACTTAAGTACTGCACATATTATTTCAAGTTCAATCTGCATTTCAAAGTTTGTATTCATAAAAATAAAATAACCAATTTACACTAAATCCAGACTTTATTCCCAGATTTTCATAATAAGTTTAATTTATCTATCCACAAAAGGTAGCAACATCTAAAGTAGATTACACCATCATATGAACATATACTTGTACATATACACAACAAATGAACTGAATTCTACACTTCTGAACTAATTTTCAACCGGAGTCCTATAATTTCAAATTAAGAAACCAAAGATTCAGCAACTCATACCTGATCAATGTTGGTATCATCATCCCTCTCCACAATCGAGGAAGCCACCGAAGCTGCGGACCTCGCAACGGTGGAAGCACCGGACGAAACGATCCTCAAGTAGCTCGAAATGGCCCGAAAAGAGTTGGGAATGAAGCTGTTGGACCGAGCGGGGCGAGGAACACCACCCTGCTGCTGCTTCTGACCGTCATCATTCCTCATCCCCAGCACCAGAGAGATCAAACTAGTCAATACCCAGATCACGAAAACCGATGATTCTTCAAAAACTGCCTTAATCATAACCCCAGAGCTGTTTCCCTTTGAACTTATGAGGCAAAACCCAAATAAGAAACAGCCCCAAATTCACAAGCTTTAGGTCCCAAGTGTCCCCATCTCCTCCTTACACCAAAAGGCATCCAAATTTTCACAAAAACTCAAAATTATAAAACCCCAAATCAAACCAAATTGGAAACACCCAGACACAGGGCCTTCGCCTCTGATTCCACGTCGTCTCCTCAATAAAAAGACAAAGAAACTCTTATGTAACAGCTTTCAAATACAAACAAAGAGCCCCGAACGGACTTTATCTTCAATACCCAGAAGCTGAAATTTGAAAAAAATAACAATAAAAATGGGAAAAATGTACAATTTTGCTGAAGAATGAGGGGTTCCTTATACTCCTACAATGAAAAAATAAAAAAATTACGGGCTTTTCTAATTTGAAATTTGAAAAAAAGATAAGAAAAGAATGGGTGGAATTGAAATGGAAAGAATTTGTACAGAGGATTAAAGGAGGGATTTTAGGGTTTTTGAAGGGAAATCCGCCAAGAAATCGCCAGAAAACCGTGGGAGGTCTGAGGAGAGAGAAAGGTGTAGAGAGAAAAAGAGATCGGATAATGGCAATGTTTTTTTGTGTGTATTTTTTTTGTTTTGTTTTACATTGTTTTCGGAAATAAAATAATAAAAATAAGAGACTATTCGTTTACGACTCTATCCATGCAAGGCATTTCAAAGTTAGGTTTTAGTTGAACCAAAACAACTGCAACCTCCTCTACAAGTCAGCCCCCCTTCATTTGAAAGTTTTTAAAATGAGTGGAAGTGTTTTGGTGAAGATGTATTTTAAATCAATTTTTAATAAAAATTCGAGTAAATCTTGAAAAAATACTTTAAGTACTTCCTGCAAAAAGTACATAGACGATGTTTCTTATAAAAAAAATAAAAAAAAACATTTATAGTACTTTTGGAACCATCCAAATTTAATTTCAACAAAAGTGCTTTAAGTCATTTTAAAAGTATTTCCAAACGAACTTTATAATTCTGGTCAAACGGTTTTCATCCATTTTCAAACTTAAATGATCACTTAGTTTCAAAAGAACGAGACTGCTCTTTTTTGTTTTGCATTTTTTGTAGGATTTCTTTTCATTTTTGTGAGTTAATTGTGGAATTGTGATGACACATAATGTTCATTTGCTTGAAACTATGTTAGTTAGAGGTGTGGCTGCAATACTCGTGGCTTTAAGTGTATCTAGATGTTGTTGGAGAATATGAAAGGGATGAACGTATAAATCTGTTATTTTAAATATTATTGGTTTAAATCACTTTGTTAAACTTCCCCATTAGTTAGATTGATTTTTTTTTTTCAACCAATAAAAGTACATTGTAACTAGCATTGTGTCTACGTGTTGGTATTTTCCCTCATGTGTAAGGTTTTGAATCACATACATAGCATTTTGTCTATGGCCTAACCCAAATTTCTTTAAAATGAAATATTGATGTAATAGGGAAGAAGAAAAACCGATATAAATACATTATTCAATAAAAAATAAAAAAAGCCTTGGGTTTGAGGCACGAAGCAGGTAAAAACACGAGTAATGTTCTGATTGAAAATTTTAAGAGGACATATGTCATTTGATTCTGGCCAGAGATGGCTAAAATGTCTTTAGCCTCTTCAAACCCCGCTGGAAGTTTAGTCCTACACATTAAGCATTTATTTAATTTTAAGATATTGATCACCTTGTTTGCAAGAAAGAGAAGGTGCCTTGCATACTCCAAGGGACATTGATTGACCTCATCTTTATTATGGAGTTGAAACTTGAGTTGCTCACATTGTCCAATGATAGATTTTATTAGATTAAATGTTACATTAGTCATTGATGAAGTTCAAACTCACGCTATCATGTAAAAGTTCAAACGATAAATTTTATTATATTAAATGTTATATTAGATGCTATCACATTGTGATTGTGGTTTCCATGTTAAATAAGTAAAAATCTCATGCATGCACGCGCTACACAATCATAATAAAGATATCATTAAAATACTTAATAATCTGTAATCAATTCTGTATTTATTTTTTAACTTTCGTTCCCTTCTTTTCTTGTATTCAGGGAACAAAAGAAATATATCATGAAGAATACGTATATGTTTTGTTAGCAGCCTCTGGAGTTTGGACTCCATGGAAATTGTGAGCCACATTATTTATTCTACATTTTTTAAAAATATCACGAAAAACATGAATAAGTATAGCAAAGTAGTTGAACGGTTTTGATCATAAACATAAAGTTTTATGAATCGGTAACATACAATTTTAAGTAGAAATTCTTACTCATCATGTAAGTAGCAAAGTATTGTTCTTCATACTTTCTCTCTTACGTGAACTAATGAAATTATAAGGGGAGAAAACTACTGAAATAACATATTGATGTCTCACATTATTTTTTAGGAAAACTAATGAAACGGGTTTGAAAACTTTGACTTTTAACGATAAGGATAAAATAAAAGGTAAAGTGAATAGTATCAGAATTGACTTTTTAGTGTAAAAATGTGGTTTTTCGTTAAAATGAGAGTTTTAACGAAAAGCCCACGGTACTGTTCACTTTAACAAAAAATCACATTTTTACACTAAAAAATCAATTCTGGTATTATTCACTTTACCCTTTATTTTGTGCTTATTGTTAAAACTCAAAGTTTTCAAATCCTTTATATTAGTTTTTTTTCCCTACAATAAACTAATGAATATGTTAACTAATTAATACTTTATAGTATTTTGTGTTCTGGTAAACGTAGTGGATAAAGAAACGTATCCTAAATTGGAAGTTGACGTGATCCAACGGAGCAAGACATTTTAGGAAGGGAATGACCCGTTTGTATTTCATTTACTTGGAGGTCAAGCATAAAATAGGCGTTGATCAATTCTTTTTCGTGGAGGTCAAGCATAATAATATACCAGTTCAAATTCTCTCTCTCTCTCTCTCTCTCTCTCTCTCTCTCTCTCCTGCCCCCCACCCCCAAAAAAAGATTCTTTTCACATCTTTTACCATTTAATATCTTAATTTTGTTGTGTTAATTACCATTGCCTATCCTTCTTTTCTTTAAAATAATTACCTTACGTATGAAATTTTAGTATTTGATTTAATACATGAAAATCCATACACCCCCCCACCCCCATATTAATTTTTTTTTCTTCATACTTACATCTATATATTTTGGATAACAAACTCAAAGTAATTTTACATTATTAATCATATTTTTAGAGAAGTGAGTGTTTATAGAAAGCATTTGAGGTTAGTAGAAGTTCCTTTTGCTCCTCGTGTTTGTAATAGGGCAGTGCATCTAGTGGCTTCTTTTGTTTCAGGAAATGAGGCCTTCATATATAGATGGGATCGATTTTGAGTCAAAATGATTGTTTGATACTTTGGTGTCTGATGTAAACATTTCCATTTGAGTTTAATGAATTTTCTATCGTTTGAAAAAAAAAAAAAAAGATTACCGATGGTTTAGCTAATTTGGCAACATAATCTATAGTCAATATCTTGTACTTGATTTAATAATTTTTCTCAAGCAATAGTTCATAGATTAATTTTTTTGATAAGTTTGAAAATCAGATGCGTAAGGATCCTCGTTGTAAGTTATTTTATCCTTTAAAAAAAATTATAAATCAAAGTAAATTAAGCGACAAAAATAAAAAAAGTGTGCACAGAAGGAAACATATAAATTTGATCTTTGGCCAACTTGCCTTGCACAAGTTACATCCAATTATTTTCAATTAACTTTTTGCCTGCTAATCAAACTTTGCAAGTTGCAAAGCCAACAAGTTGTAAGTTGCCCTGCAATTTGACTGCATTTTTCCCAACTTGCAATATCAAGAGAAGATTAATTTGGCTTCCTCAAGGCTTCCCATGCAATCATACAAATCATGACCATATATAATTGGAAGGGAAAATCTAAGGGCCATATGATGACCAAACTCATATATAATTGGCCTTGGTGCAATTTTTGGAGCATAGTTGTGCTTTCTTTTGATGTCTCAAAGTGAGACTCTTTATGGATTCTTCACGGACTCTATGCTACCTTATGTTTTTTACACAATGTGTTAGAGTAAATGTAGAAATTGTTGGAAATGTGCCCTAAAACCAATCATATGATGATACTTTACGGACATTTCAAACTAATGTAGTTTAAATGTAAAGGGCAAAGATTATTGTTTGAGCCGTCTCATATAAATGTTATATGCTTAAACGATAAGTCCAAGGAATATGTGATTGGAAGAATGCGATCTAAAGAAGTTAGATTCATGAGACCATTCTTTCGTTCACACATCCTAAACGTTCCTGATCATAGGATTGTCAATTGGGCATTGACAGTCCGTTAAGATCAGTACGTGCTATGTCTTCTCTCAGGGAGAGTGACTAGTCTCGAGTCATTGGTGTGTGTGACATCAAGACAAGTACGTAGGTGCTCAATAGAGAATGAGTTCACTGAACACGATCAACGAAGAGTTCTCATATTCATGTCACATGAGAACTCATGGTTGGGATAATGCAAATTAGTCTTTTGACCTGAGGCATCACAGTTGTCTTGTGGTTAGGTCCTTAATCTTTGATTATGTCAAAGTCACTCCATCAGGAGGGTGTCCATGGCATCGTTGGGGTTAAGCCACTTAGCCATGGAGGCAAGTGAATGCGCAACAAGGGATCTCTAACCTTCAAACTGTTTGAGGGAGAATACTCTATGATATGATTGAGAATCTTTGGCCAAAGTATGAATGAGATTTAGGAATGTGTTCCAAATCACATTCAAGGTAATCATATAAGCACAAGACTCACATTGGATAGTAGACATGAATAAACTATCAAACCAAACAATGTGGTCAAGAGTATTGTATTAGAGAAAGACCGTATTGCATTTGTAATCCTAAAACTGAATAGGTTCTCCACCTCTTCTGATTAGCTTGGGTAACCATGACATGCTGCTAGGCGTCAACCATGGTTTGTGGAAGCCCTAAAAGTGTGTTATCACTAACGGGAGAATTGAAAGTAAGTTTCAATTCACAATCGATTAGAAAGAGTTTTAATCGCCCACTGCCTCGCTAAAAGGAACCTAATGGATCGTTCACCGAGTAAGGTAGAGTTTGAAGAAACAACGGAGATGAGTAAGAATAATTAAATGGTTTAATTATTTATCTAAGGCTAGGATTAATTAATATGTTAATTAATCAAACGAATAAGTTCGTTAAAGACCTCGGGTTAGTTTTGGGCCGCAAGGCCCAATGAGATTTGAATGTCAAGCCCATTAACTCAAGTTGTATGACAACTTGAATAAACAAAGGGCTTGAAAGCCCAATAAACCTATAGGCCGGCCATGTGTAAAATAATAGGGCTTTTGGTCTATTAGGTCACTTATTTGAAGGGACTATATAAAGGACTTTATAGCCTAAAATTTACTAAGGGTTATTTTTGGGGAAAGGATGAGAACACAAGCTCTCCTTTCTCTCTAAAATTTCGGCCACCTTGGAGGGATCATCTAGCAATCAAACTCCTCCAAGGTCACTCATTTCTTCTTCATTATGCCTTGGTGATGAATCATTAGAGGTTCTCAATTTTGGGAACTTGGAGAAACCTTTTCATCCATCCAAATCCATGG